GAAATAAATATAAACAGATTCATTTCACTCTTCAATTGTATTTTGACGAGATTTTCAAACCATACGAGTTGTTTCTTGTATTTCAAGTGACATATATGACAAGAACCAATTAATTACCTTCATTCATTCTTGTTAAGCTAATATTCAATGATTGTCTCAATATGATAATTAGTCAAAAGATCTGTTCTATTTAAAATTCTTTTGAAGACTGGAAATTGATTCAAATATTGGATAATGTGCATGTAGATGATCAACAGTGTACACTATCGATGATTCTCTTAGTAACTTTAAGATAAAAAAAAGCATAATGTTTATAGATAAAAGTGTATTATATAATGTAAGAAAATTATATTTCAAAAGCATAACATTGTTCAATTGACAAAGTCATCCAACATATTTTGCAATGGATTGTTTTAAAAAATTTAAAAACAACACGTAGTTATTAGTCCTGTTTTGTTTTCGACATAGAAAAAGAAATAAATGGCTGATACAAGCTGTTGATAATTCACAATAAGCTTGACCAAATAGTTTTGTATTGATAATGTTATTCAAAAGATATATAGACATGTATATATAATGAAAGTCAAACGTTCAAATAGACATAACAGGTGTAACTGTCTAAGTGAAGATAGTGATTAAATACAAAGAACGACCGCTAGATCACTTATTACTAAAACCTGATTACTTGTTGTTTGTGATTCTGATTGGTCTGACAAAGAATATGAATATCCAAAACTTTCAGGTTTATGAAAGATTTGCTTTAGGCCACCAAATTCAAATGGATTAAACTTAATAATTACATATTATGTTTTGAAAAAATATTGTATTATAATAAATATATAAGAACAATGGATGTGGCTGCGGTATTTTGCAAAAGAGGAGATCTTCTACAAAACTCACACTCTGTTCTTTCTGACCAGCTATGGAATCAATCGTGAGGCAAACATATATATGCTTAGAAGGAACTCTATAGTAAAACATCCGAACAACGTCCATTGACATTGGTCAAATCGTGAGATCATTTTCTAAGAGAACTATGGTTTGGAAATTTTTTGTACGATGTCTTGTTCATTTCAACTCTATAAGACATCGCAGATCTGCTAGTTACTATGGTACAGGTTCTGTCTTGTACTGTGAAGAATAAAGATGCCTTAAATCTCAATATTGTCAAAGAAAATTTGAATTTGAATAATTAACAGCATGACACATAATTTAGAGAAAGTTTCCTCGTAAATGCAGTCTTTGAAAGGGATAATTGCTTATCAATTATTAGGTAACTGAAGTTGGTCTTATTCAGCGAACTCATTAAGAAGTATTGGCACATTTTTATATAACAATTGTAGAGCACTCAATGCGAAGGTTGTTCAGATTAGCAAGAAGACTCTTCTCGTATATTGGTTTTTCTCTATTGATTAAGCTCACTAATATCTGTCGACGCTGATATTTCCAGCTCAATAGATTTCAATGGAATGGAATTCTACCAAAAACATGCTATCTCAGATACTGTCGAAAAAATATTGTCATGTCTGAATGTGCGAAAAATAGTCAGAGATTCTGATAGCAAAAATTTTTTATGTTGAAACGATGCTTTAACTTTCGGATTGATATTTTGATTGTTACAGATACGTTCAAGATCCATCGTCGCAATGTTCTCATATTCTCGATCGATCTCCACTTACTGAACGAACATTCTATATTCTTGTAGATTCATCGCCATTGTATACATTTTGAACCGTTACTCATTGGAAAAGTTCTATTTAGTCATCATGGAAATTGTCATAGGAATGTCGTCGACGGAATCAACATCAACAACAAACCCATCAGAATAGATACTTTTTCTCGTATTTCAATCAGAAAAATATTCAATACGTTAATGAAAGGTCGAGGTTTTTACGGGCTACAAAAAAGCATTTTTACTTTGGAGACATGGAGGACCTTTGCCTCTTTCGAGTGTGAGAAAGAAAGAAAACGGAAGAATTAGTTTGAAAAAGTAGTACTTTCGTGTCTAGCACTGTTTCCAGGAGGATTTTTTACCGCAGCTTTTGTGTAATAAAACTTCTTATAAAGTTTTTCAGAGAGTTACACGATGAGTCTTGAGCAAAACGCTCAAGTCTGAGTAATGAAAATCGAAGAACATATTACTAAAATATTGAGAGTAACATATTTTCTGGATCACTCATTAGGAGATGATCGGTGCTCTCAGCTTAGCGTTTTACTTCTGTTCATTGTGTCGAGTTCAGTCCCGTTTTACAAAAGCAACTAAAGGAACAACAATTCATATTCTGAGTTATGTGCTATACAAGGGTGTTGGTGTGTGTATAAGGTAGGATGTCCGTGAGAAAGCGGGTGGCAGTGGTGTGCGAGTGTCGGTTTTGAGGAACATGAGTTTGGATTGGTTTCAGTGCGGCTGTGATCGTGTGTATTGGAAGTGAGGTGGATGTCGATATTTTATTATATCGCACTTACAACTATTCCAACATTAACACAATCAACGACATTCTCTATGTCTGAAAGACTGGACAGGATCAAAAAAATACCAATGTCATGAAAACTGAGAATAGAACTAAGAATTCATGTGCTGCAGTCAGTAAAGCCCTTTTCCAGTCACACTATCTCACTGGCACTGCGCCTAAATATCATAGCCTATAAATCCAAGAGTAACTCGCCTGGTCTTAAGCTATACTATGACTCTCTGAGGCGTGCATCAATATGGGTGGGTTTGGGTCTCTTTTTCAGCGACACCCACACTTCCACGCCTACACTCATCCATTGAAATTACTTTAGCTCAGACATTTACATAAGTTGTCATGTTGTAGATACATAACTTATCTGTCTGTTTCATTAGACTCTCATTTATAATTATTAGTTAATTAGAATGAACGGTGAGCGTGTGAGGTAGTGAGCATGTGCATGTCGTTGAAGAAAAGATTCACACTCCATCCATTAATCTGCCAATTTTTTGGAAATACCATTCAAGGCATTCGGATCTGCCATTTCAATTGAGACTACTCACAAGGTAATTGATTGCACTGTTTCGATCAATTTACCTTATCCACATGATGATGCTTTCTAGAAATGGCATATAATATCAAACCAAAAATATCGGATGGTAAGGCATTTTTCATTACCATGAAAAGATAGCTCATGGTCGACAATATCTTTTGTAAAAAAGATTTCTATTATAACCATTGTCGTTCTTTAGAAAATGAAAATTTAGTGAAAAGAATTTCGCTACGAAGTACTTCAAATATAGTAGAGTAGCTATATTTGCGACGTCTATATCTCCAGAATGATTCATCTACTTGGGCTAAAATTTACAGTTTATTCCTAACTCACATGTATCTGCCTGATGTAAAAATATCAGCTAAGTCGGTGATGTCGATTGAGCAACATTGATTGAGGCTTCTATACAATCTCTCCTAGGACACGAATCAAATTTAAATGTAAATTCAATTGTTTATTTCAATTTCTAGTAGCATTTTACAATATCAAGTGATAAGACTGTTGTAGGGCCTACGAACGTGTGAAGCTCTATGAATTTTACAGTGTGCTAAAAATATATCAAATGCAGTAAAATATAGATCATTTTTCTACGAACTGATTGCATATAGATTTATATAAATTTTGGAGGTAAAATAAAATATCCACCCCTACATATTTCAGCATTACAAGCTAATCATACAGATCGGATGATATGTGGAAGTGGGTTTGAAGTTCTTCGCACATACACCCTATCCGAGATATAGAATGTTATGGAAAACTTGGTCTGAATATGTAGACTAAATAAAGGGCTATAAAGATCTATGATACAGAGAAAAATTTCGATTTGTCTTATTTTGATTTTATGATTGAAAGAAAAGCTGCAATTTTAAGACATTTCGTTTATCCAATCTACATTGTTCTATGTTATCATTTAGTGATCATCATGAGACTACTTGATTCATGTTTCAAGAAGTGGTCTTCCACAATATTGGAAAGTAGCAAGCAGACACAATAGACTTCTTTCTTAATATGAACATAGAGCATCGCAATATGAATTATTTCCATAGTAAGTAGTATTCTTTAAAAAAGAATTGGAACTATTTCTGACGGAAAGCACCTCCCCATGGGTGATTTCTTCGTCTATTGAGAATTCTGCTTCATATCATCTTAGTCCAACTCTCTCTTCTTCCGTCTCTCATACTATAGTAATCTTAAGTTCTCTTTTTCTCACCTCTCTTTCTTTGTGTAACTATAAATAATTGTGTTCGTGTACTGTTTCATTAATCAATAGATCTCTGGATTTCATTACCTGTTACACTACTAAAAAGCTGAATCGAATCTTGTCCAATATTTGTACTGAAAACTAGTCGAAACTTGGTATAAAGATAGCGCTAAATCATTCTGTGACCTTTTCAAATTAAGTAGCAGAGGTTGACAGCTGGTACAGATCAATATATAGTATTTCAAACCAAGACGTAAAATGTTATATCTTTGAGCATAGAAATTAGTCAATAGTTCTTTCATAAAGTACAATCTAACGAACTCGACGTCACGAACTGAACAATGAAAATTTTAGGCTAAAACTTATGGCTTTGGGACCAAAGCAATATTTTTTTTCTTCTAGTAGTCTCATTCATGTCAAGTGGAATTATATGATTGGAAAAAGGACATAACCGGGAAAAATTCAAAGTGATCGTCATGTCTCGACTTTTGCTCACTCACATCTCACGACTTCTTGATGTAAGTCACATGGATGGATAGAGAAATGTTTTATTTATTTCGAAATGAACAATAAGCGCAAAGGGATGCAAGGAAACCAAGATTATGAAGTTCTACTGGAAAAAAATGAAAATAATCACTAGGCTTACGGCAAACCCTGCAAGTCCGTTTCACAGATCAAGTATTTTTTTATATCGAACATTCTCGAGTCCTACCGAATTTCAACGTCAAACATGACTAGATTTGTTTCCTCTATCC